AGAGGTGAGGTGCCACACGTGGTCTCCTTGTGGCGTTAGAGGTGAGGTGCCACACGTGGTCTCCTTGTGGCGTTAGAGGTGAGGTGCCACACGTGGTCTCCTTGTGATGTTAGAGGTGAGGTGCCACACGTGGTCTCCTTGTGGTGTTAGAGGTGAGGTGCCACACGTGGTCTCCTTGTGGTGTTAGAGGTGAGGTGCCACACGTGGTCTCATGGTGCTTGAGGGCTTAGGTGCCACATATTCTCTTTTGGAAGTTTTCTGGCTTCAGACAAGGATTCAATATCACTTTTTTTTACCTACTTGAAAGACTGAGTGGCAGGGAGATAAGAGGGGCAGAGGTCTTTCAATAGTTGCATCTAATTTCCTAACTGGCTGCAAGCGCTAGGATGGAGCCAGGATGAATCAGGAGTCAATGACCTGGTTTTTTTTTTTTTTTTGTGAGTGGCAAGTCTCCAGCCATCATCTGCTGCTTACCTGGGGCTCACTGGAGGGGGTTTCACTACCCCTGGAGCATCCCCAATGGATTAGACAGCTTTGCCTGCAGCGGAAACACTCTGTCTTGTCTTTGTTTTCTTCCCCCTCTGCTGGAAAACTGTGACCTTTGAAAACGAATTGATCCAAATACTCATCTGTGCATATTTCTGAGGCAATCCATCGAAGATTGTTGAGAATTTCATCGTTGCTTATCCCAGCTTTGTATTCCTGGAATAAACCATGTTTACTCCATGTCACAGATGTTGCTGAGTTTGTTTTGCCATCATCCTGTGGAGGATATTTCCATCTACATTTGTGAATTGATGAGCACCTGTTTGCCTTTTGTTCCACAAGTTTCTAGCAAGGCAGTGCAGTGCCCAGCATCTGTGGTTGCTTCACTGGGCCCAATCTTGCAGTTTGTGCAGCCTGCAGTAAGATGATAAAGGAATGCTTTTATCCTTGTCAAATGGTGTCTCTCCCAAAACCCTAATCACAGTAAGTGTGAAGCTTCCAAGTTACTCTTGTATTTGGCTCTAGTTAGTGCCCCACTCCTGGGCCAGCAGCTTCAACTGCTCACTGCACCTGCTGTGCTATGGCTGTCCCAGCTTGAGTCAGAGAGAGGCAGACATGGTGCCCAGGCCCTGGCAGCATCCTTTCTCCCTTTCCTCCAGGAAAAAGGTGCCACATTGCCTTCTTCCTCTTTTTGTGTCTGCTGCTTTTTATTCTGATCATGAAGACAAATCCCAAGGCCTTTTCTGACTTCAGCCATTCCTGCAGCACAGGAACACACAGCAAACTCTTCCATCTCTATGTGAAAATTTCAATTGCATCTTTAGGAGCTAGGAAGTAATGACAGACAGGTACCTAGGTGTCCATGGCCCTATGGTAGATTTTGGCATCCTGGCACTGAAGGAGTGGAAGTCTCTGTGCTCAGCAGCATGGCAAAGGTTGGGGCCTTCCCAACACTCCTTGAGATCTGCTCTTGGGACCCAGCATCCCCTTCCACAACCGTGTTCCAGGGGTACAAGCCAATGCCCCTGCAGGGAGTGTGGTAATGGGGGACCTCAGATGGCTCCAATTCCACTGTCAGGAAATGTGCTTTTCTGCTGAGGCTGTGCCAGCTGAACACAACTTTCAGAGAGAAAGGTCTTCTGATTTCCCCGGAGACACCAGAATCCACCTGTCAAACGGGCCTGGTGGGCACGCTGAACTCCTCCTCCACATCTCCCATGATTCCACAGGAGACTTGCACTTCAGCTGCTATTGTGCAATGCACTGCTCAGAGACTTGAGCAAAGCACTGGCTCTGACAAGGGGTTCAGGACATCTCAAAACAGGAAGGGGTTTCAGATGATAAACCAGACAATATAAACCAGACTCAGGTAAAATCAAAGACTAGAACCAGACCTGAGAAACAACCTTGCTGCTCCCCACCCCAGCAGGTGCTCTGGCTGCATTACCAAAGGGCAGCTGTGCACTCCTTTTGCATCACCTCTGACTTCATGTATAAAAGAATTGTGGCTTGAAACTGTTAGATTATTTCATATTACCCATTTAATTATGTTGCCATTGCATTACATTTTGGAATAAATTATACCTGCACTATTATTTCCCCCCAAACTGTGGGCAGTGAAACCAATTTAATGTGTTCAAAATATTTAATTTTTAAATTTAATGCATTTCAAAAAAATGCATCACAAGAAGAAATAATACAGCACAAAAGAAGGGTGATTGTTGTTTTGTGAGACTTTCATTTCTTCTTATATGTGTTGAAACCCAGCTGGACACTGACCCCAAGTTCCCATTGTGCCTTCCTGAGCCTTCTTGGGCGGGCAGGGCCTCCAAGGACAGGAATGTTTAGGCATGAAAATGTGGCTTTCCAAACTCAAAATATGCGGCTGTGCTCTTTCCCTGGATCCTTTCTGAGGCTTGAATTGTGGAGAATCCTAACAGCTTACTCTGGAATTTGTTGATAACCCCTACGTGTGAGGGGATGGTGTTATACATGTATCGTACAGACTATTCAGCAAGTGTTTAGGAGTTTTTGTTCTTGGCATCTCCCTGTCATTTACATTTATATACACAGGCTCTTATTTTAACTTGCATTTGCAGTTATTGCCACACTCAACACAATCTCAGTTATCCTCAACCTTCCCTTTTGCTCCTCGGTTGCAGTTTCTGGTTTAAATGCTGTGTTAGTCTCTTGGGCTGCCCACCCTGCAGTGTCAACACAACAGAACAAGCCATTGGAAGGTACCTGGCTTCCAAGAATGTGTTGAGTGAAAGCACACCTTAAGAAGTCAGCTCTGGAGGGGCCCTGTCCTGGTTCCAGGACAGTCACCAGTGCTGGACAGTCAGCCTGCCTGGGCATCCCAGCTTGAGCCTCACTCAGGCCATTCTCCCTCCCTTGCAATCCCGCCCCCTTCCCAGTGCTCAGAAGTTGCTTCCTGCCCTTGCAATCCCGCTGTTGTATGTGGGAGGTCTCTTTCTGGCCTTGCCCTCATTGTCTTCTTCAAGGTTCCCTTTGCAGAGTAACACCTGGCCTCCTGGGTATCACCCTACTGGTCTTCCTGGACTTGGGCAGTGTTTTGTTTCATCGCATTGGAATGCTGTCTCTCTCCTGACACAGGGAGGGTCCCACCAACTCCTGGGTGACAAAGCCCCGTCATGTGCTGAAGCTGATGGCTGGGGTGCAGTCCTGAAGTCACGCACACTCACTTTGGAGCTCTTTTGTCTAATAAGCCTACAGCCAGGTTGCATTCATTTCTGCATATTTAACACTTCATTTTCAGGTAGGAACAATATCACGATCAGTTTTTAAATTATTTTTTGTGTATCTTTTGCAAAATTTAACTAAGAATCAATTCTAAAGATGTAGTAAGCACTATAGCACACCTATTTTTATGTTCTATCTAACAAATTTCAAGAACAAATTTTTACAGACTCAAAAATATATTCTTTGCCGAATATATATGTATGGGGAAGGACTAGTGCATTTCCCTAAATATGCTTTGCTCTCAAGAACTTGAAGGCAAATGGACTCAAATGCACAGGCTTCAAACCATTCCAGTGTTCCTGCCCTTGGTCATCAAGCCTCAAACAAATGACACACAGAATCATTCAGTTTGAAGAAACATCTCTGCAAAACGAACGCCATGCGCAGACCCACCCCACCCAGGGACACGGAACCTGGGCTGCTTGTGTCGCTGTACGGGTTGGCCCAGAGCCAGCACATGACCTCCCCTTTCCTGAAACCACCTGCAGATGACCGATGGCCCTGGACGTGGGGTGGACGCTGTGGGAATCCTGGTGCCGCTGGCCAGGGGAGGGATATGCAGGACCAATGGTAATCTCCTGGGTTCATAAACTTCATGTTTATTTACTGAACCTGATTAGAAGCTTCTGCTTGAGATAACTTTGTTATTTCACTTTCAGTGGCTTTCATTTGCATTGTTTTACATGTAAGCAATCTGAAAGTTTTTAAGAAAGAATAAAAATACTTGAATTCAACTAAGAATTTCAGCTTTTTAAGATTTTCTTAGTGGGCCTGGTGCGATAGCCTATCAGCTAATGTTCTCACCTTGCACATGCCATATGGGTGCTGATTCTAACCCTGGCGGCCCTTCTTCCCATCCAGTTCTTTGCTTGTGGTCTGGGAAAGCAATGGAGGATGGTCCAAAGCCTTGGGATCCTGCACCCGCATGGGAGACCTGGAAGAAGCTCCTCACTCCTGGCTTTGGATAGGTTCAGTTTCAGCCGTTATGGGCACTTGGGAAGTGGAGCAGCAGATAAAAGATCTTCCTCTCTGTCTTTCCTCCTCTCTGTGTTTCTGACTTTCCAATATAAATAAATAAACCTTTAAAAAAGAATCTCTTAGTAAAGTAATTACAGAACATTGGAGGTTGAGGACTACATCAGTTACCTTCCAGTCTTCGTTCATTTGCAGAATCACAGCTCAGAGGGATTCCACGTAAGGTGCAGACCACCACAGAGCCTCCTGCATTCGTTACCATTTTTCTTCACTACTTAAAGCTCCAAATCAACTGTCTGAATTCCAGACAACTGGACCGCGTGCTTCGCTCTTTCTCAAAGCGATCATGTTGGACGTACAATGACAAATAAGCCTCAGCGCCTTGGATGAGACACAATGATCGTGCAAGACCTTTCCCCAAAGTAGCATCTGGTCTTTGTTAACTGTGACTGGAGCACTGACACAGGCCTGAGCAGAACGAGAGCTAGCCCATCTCCCGGGCGCAACTTCGGGGAAAAGCACGGTTCCCCAGCTTCGTGAACTTTAACCTGTCTACTAACCTGGGCTTTAATATATGCAATCTTTAAATGCCTGCTAGACTTCGAGGTGATAGATTTATACACATTCTACCATTATTTCATTCATTTGAAATATTAGTCTTTGAAAGAAAATACATTTCTAAGTTAGTAAAATAGTTCAATCCAAACCTTTATTTTTCCCATCAGACTGAAATCATAAATCGAATGAAACAGAAGATGAGTGGGGCTGTATGTTTCAGAGAGTAATGTCAGGAGCATCGTGAAAATATACACTCTGCTTCTCCCCGAATCACAGAAAACGGGCGTGTTTACCTCGAGAGCAGAAGTACTCACTGCCTTCAGCTCCAGGCCGTCCTTGGCGTGCAGCACACGGCTCCCGCAGACGACCTTCTGGCCTTGCAAGGAAGCAACACCGAACACTCTGGAAGGAAAACTGAGGTCTTTTCTTGCATAAGCCATGTCTATCCCAGAGTGCATGGGACGCACGAACAGTTCTGTCTCTTTTGCTAGAGCAGAGAACAAACAGGCTCTGAAAAAAGGTCCAAGTTATCATAAAGCCAATAAAAATGGAATGTTTAGAATTAAAATGACTTAACAGGTAAGAGCTGCACACATTATCTTCCTTAGAGTCAGAGATTTCCAGTCACCTTTGCATATTATATTTAGCCAACACTCATTTTAATTTTAGTTAGGAGACACTAACATATAATTAGCAGCAAATAACAGCATGACAATGCAACAAAAGTCCACAGAGATCTAAAGCAGCAGCACTCGGAGCTGTGGCGCGCCGTGCTCCTCCACCAAGTCCGTGACTGCGGGGTCTTCCCCCCGCCGCCTCCAGGGAAGCTTGTCTGGGGACGACAGCAGAAGCAATGATGACAACGCTGGGAAACTGTCAAAGCCAGGCAGTGTGCACTCTACACTCGGAAGACCCTCACTCTTCAATGAACACCGCACGGAATTAAAGAACACGGCAATTCCAGCATAGCACACAGAAAAATTAACTCATTTCTCAGAGACTGACACAATTTTGAATATGCATTTCCCATCTGTAGCTGTTGAACTCATGAAGCAAAACAATGCATTACAAAATCTACACAGCATGAATTATAAACGAGAAACAAACGCTTTGCCAAAAAAACACTGGCTGGTGGCCGAACATGTAGATATCCATATGCATATATTTATATATAATGATGAAAATCGGCTTGCATGAGGGTCATAGTGTGTCTGTTTTGAAGAGATACCACATATACTATAAGCAATTTACAAAATTTGCATATACAGGAATTGCAAATGAATGAAAATACATTGAAATATAGAACACTTAAGATGTATTTATAGAAACCTCCCAGGTTCCAAAGGGATTGGCCATAATCAGTGCTTGTCATCACTGGACAACAGGTGCAACAATGAAAATGAAAATTCCAAGAAAATGGGAAAACAAACAAGAGGTTTTTATTTTGTGATCCTTTGTTGACGTGTGGTGTGGCGATTCTGGTCCTCTCCCCTGCGAGGGCTTCAGCCGGTGGCACTTTATACTCTGAAGTGTTTTGGTCTGTTTGCTTCTTGCTGACAATGGACCTTTTAGTGGGAAACCAATGGTATCCACAGTGAATATTTATCCTCACGGCACTATGGCCAATCCTGAATGGTCAGCGAAATGAGAACTTCAGTTGCCAAAAGAAAAGGAAAAAAAAAATAGATCTTGCTATTAGAAAGCATCCTATCACATCACACCGATGTTCTTGAAATAAAAGACCAGGTGATTTGCCAAAGAAAATATCATTTAGAAAGCAAGTGATAGCCTCTTCGTTTATGCTTCTGGAAGCAGGTGCTCCTTGTGTAGGATATTAGAGTACAGTGGGTGCAGAGTGGTGCTTGGAGTTTAGGGTCAACTTTGCTGTCCGCTCCGTAGATTTTACAGGCGATTTGCTCTTTGCTTTAAGAAGAGAAAGTGATATTGGAAAAAAGTCAGCACTTTAGATTAAAGCAAAGCACCCTTCACAAAGCCACAAACAAGAAGCAGGACAGAAAGTCCATGGCTTGTAGCTATCCTCGCACCTGCGGAAGAAGTTATAAGATATTCGCTCATCTTGAAGATTCCAACGCTCCTTATTAGGCTGTTTAAACACATACATTTATAATTTAATTAGCTCGCCAGCTTGGCTCTGGTGCTCATGAGTGTCTTGGCATGCACTGCAAACAACAACACATACAGAGTATTTCAGTCCCGGGAGTCGCTGGGGTGTTGCCTGTTTTTAATTAACGCCATCCCATGGCTGGGGACATTGGAAGAAACAAATCCAAACCTTTTCCCTCAGCTAATTCCTCGTGGGCCACCTGTAACAGTTGTTCCTGCAATGGTGCCTGCAGACACAGCCTGCTTTCCTGCCACAGCTGCACAAAACCACAGGAGGGGCTACAAGCCCACCAGCCATGGCTTCCTGGCAGTGGGAGGGGTGTGTGGGGGGTAAGTGGTACCCTGGCGCTGGCTTCGGAGTAGGGCCCTTCTTGTTTGTCTTTGCAATCTGGCAGGAACCCTGGACTACTGCAGGGGAGGAAGCAGATGTCTAATAAAAACGATATATTAAATACCTTTGTCAGTAGAAACAAAGCAGTCAAGCGGTGAGGTGCCAAGTGTTTCTTCTTCCTTTCTTACTGAAGGGCTAAGAGGGAGGAGGACAACCTTGCCAGGCTTCCTGCCGCAGCACGTTAAGCTGCACATGGCAACGGGAGCAGGAGGGCCAAGGCCCTGGCTCCTCGGAAGCCTCTGGGGTGTTAGTGTAGAGTAGTAGCTGACCTTAGAACAGAGGTATCTAGGCTGAGCTTGAATCACAGTGTTCCTGTCAGGCTGCCCCAGTACTGCCATCAGCTGGCCTTTGTGGAAGGTGTGTAGGCCACGTGCAGGGAGCCCTGTGGCCAAAGAAGCAGACTGCAGGTGGCCCAGTTTGAGGCCAGCAGTGGCTCCAGAGACAATTATTCATCCATTAAAAACAAGCAGTGAGAGTTTTAGCCATATCCCCCATTTCTGTCCAAAATGGAGCTTTGAAGACTTTAAAAATTTGGCTTCAAAACAAAAGGCATAGAAACAACAGCAAGGTGGATTCTTTCTTCCCATCCTGGGAAAAAGCCTGCAGGTACTGCACCTGACTGGAAGCAGCTGTGTTGGACCAAGGACCTGCCCTGGAAGCAAAGCACCACGGGATGCCTGACAGCCAAGGTACCCACTGGGTGTGGTACCATCTCTGCAGTGCCACAGATGGGTGGGAGAGTCAGCCTCAGAGGACTCAGCCCCTCCCTCACTCCTGCACCGGGGAGAGGCAGTGCTGCCCTGTGGGGAGACTGCTGCACAGGTATACCACAGGGGAGCTCACAGATGCTGTCTTTAAAGGCTGGCTAGGAACACAACAGAAATCCCACCCAGTTCACTCAAAGAAAAGGCAAGCTGGGAGCAATCCAAGCAGGGTTATTCAGAACTCAGCGCCCCCAGCACCCAGGGGAGCAGCATCCTGGAGACGCCCTTTCCCAGGGCTGCTGCCTGAGCACCCAGGGGAGCAGTGTCCTGGTGACGCCTCCTTCCAGTGCTGCTGCCTGAGCACCCAGGGGAGCAGCGTCCTGGTGACGCCCTCTCCCAGGAATGCTGCCCCAGCACCCAGGGGAGCAGTGTCCTGAAGGCACCCTTTCCCAGGGCTGCTGCCTGAGTACCCAGGGGAGCAGCGTCATGGAGACGCCTCCTCCCATTGCTGCTGCCCCCAGCACCCAGGGGAGCAGCGTGCTGGTGACGCCCTCTCCCAGGGCTGCTGCAGCTGACTGCTGTGCCCCAGCATGCAGGTGACCCCTGTCCCTGCTCCAGGGCCTTTACTCCTCCCCTTGTTCTGTTCTCACTGCATCTGGTCACGAGGCTGGAGGAAGGCTCTGGCATGTTTATTGCAGTGTGTCCATCCTGTTTGCATTCACTGACAGAGCTTGGAATACCTGTGTCAAGCACACAGCAGCGCTCTGGACAGCATTTGGGTCCTTCCTCTCAGCAGCTTGTTTACGGCTGCACAGGCCAGGGAAACACAGCTTGTGTTGTGGAACGATGTCCAGGGCTCCATGAGGACCAGAGCTGAATAAAAGCGAAAGTGAGGCCAGCAGGGAGTGTGGTCCTGCCTCTGAGCGCCCGAGGCAACAGCACTGTGGTGGCACTGAGGCTCTCCATGACGTATGCCTGTCCTAGGAAATCACATGGACAAGCCAACCTCAGAGGAAACACCTGCCAACGCTGAGGTGGCATGGGACTGGTCTGCCGGCACCTCGCCATAAAGCGTGCTACACACCTTAGGGAACACCATCTGAAGGAACAACAATATTTGGAGCATTTCCTGTTACAGGTATTGAGAGTAAAGCTCCTTCTGAATTCACTAGAACATTCTGGTGATATGTGTCCCTGCTCCTGCCTTTTATAAGTTTTGGATTCAAATTTGAGAGCCCAGGACCAAGAGAAGTTAGGCACCTGTAATGATGTCATCATTACTGACAGGGAGGGAATGGAAAATTGGCTTGTGGCTGCCAGGAAAGCCTGTGTGAGGAGGTGGTGAGCATTTAATTCAGCTAAGTGGGAAACCGAGGCAAGAGCCTCCACAGCTTCTCGTCTGGGCATTTCAGCAGCTCTTCAAATATCCACCTCCTCTCGCTTTGTCCTGCTGGACAATTTCCTGCCCAACCACAGCTCTCAGTGGGCTCAGCTGTGGGGCAGCAGCCCCACCTGCAGCATGATCTTCAGGAAAGGCCTTCTACCCCAGGTACTGGTGGGCTACAGGGAAGAGCAGTGTGAGAGCAGAGCTCCTGCCCATGCGCCCTTGACTTTGAGGAAGCTCAGCAGACGGACAAACTAAAACGTGTAAAACTTCCAGCAGGGAGAGCAGCGGAGCCAAGCCCTGTTGTTGAAGAGTCGGCTGTGCCTTGCTGCTCCCAGCACAGACTGCCCCTCGGAAACCTGTGCTTTCCATGGCAGGCACTGTGCTAACAGCAGAGCAGCTGGTGGGGAAATACGAGTTGGCTTTTCATGCCATTTTTCTTCTGGTCTGCTTGTGCTCAATCACTGCCTGAGGGGAAAAGCCAAATGACAGGAGGGCTTTATTCTGTTATTTCTTCTTCTGTGGGACTGTTCTTTGGAGAAATCCATTTTTTGGTTTTTGAGGAGAAACATGCTTCATTTTACTCTGCCCCGGCAGGCCAGGAGCAGGAAGGCAGCCTTTCTTCCTGCCTCTCTTCCCTCGGCTGCTCTGTTGTGTCCAAGGCTTCCGGTCGCAGTCCGTGAGGACATCAGATCTCCATGGCTGGTCCCTGGGCCACGCCCTGTTCACTGCAAAACATTTGGGCTCCTCCCGTGAATCGCCATGACGTGTTCCTGCTGGTCACGGAAGAACGGGCACCCAGCAGCTGTGCTGCTGTTCTCTGCCAGGCCCCGGACACCTCACCATAGCAGTCTCACCGCCGAGTCCTCATGCAAGCGACTGTTGGCGTGCAGAGGCAGTGGCCTCGGAGGCTGCGACAGGGCAGGCCAAGAGGGCAGCTGAGGCTGATCCCAGCTAAGACGCTACGCGTTAGCTCTGGGATGTCTCGTCTGTCGTTCTTCACACTGAAAGCTCTGCTTCCCCAATCCTTCCTCTACAACTCATGGAAGTGGAAAATAAACACATGTTTTCCGAGGATGACGCTGAAACACCGCAGACATGCACATTTGCATACGTGATATCATATATCTGGCTTTAGTGCAGCATAAGGATTTGTCGCTTGCATCACACTTACTGTTATGCAAAGACAATCCGCCAAAGTGCTAGAAACTGTTTATTCACAGCTGTTCCGTAAGCTTCCTGCACTTTCATTCTTAATCGGCAAACCTTTTATTTCTATATAACACAAACACGGATACTAACTTAAGGGTCACAACTTCTGCATCACGGTGGCTTTGTTGCGCTGACACCGCTCCCAAGGGCGCATGGAAGTGCATCCATGTTTAGGAATGAAGTAGGAGGCTGGCCTGTGTGCAGCAGCCCTGGGCAACTGTCCTCCACCCAAGCCTCTGCCTCCGAGCAGCCAGCACAGTTGCTGGGACCTGCTGCTAGCCGAGCGGAGCATTTTCAGTCTGCAGAGAGGAACGAGGGCCTGGTTTGGCTGAGTAACTGAGTCACAGCTTACTGATTTACAAATTAAACAATCTCTCCTATCACTCCTCTTTGTCCTGTTGTTATAGGCCCTCATCTCCAACCCTATCAGAGAAGAATTTCTTATCAAGGGAGGAAGGACAGGCCACGCTCTCAGACATGGCTACCGAGGAACTCAGGAAAACTGGCGGCAAGGAAAGACACCGATGAGGTTCCTTCTGCACTGAACTAAAGAACCTCGAGGGCCCATAAGTACAATCCGCTGCCACCGTGAGGCACTCTTGCTCCACAAATGTGAGGTCTTGAGGATGTAATTATGAGAGGACCAAGCACAATCAAATGTGTACTAGTATCCATTCTGTGCTTCAGGGAACAAACTGTCTGCCTAGGAATTCAGGCACTGGCCACAGGAGGGCAGCCAAGACCACAGGACCTCACAGGAGGAGGTGTTGATCACTATAACCAAAGCCAGGCACAGCCCTGGCAGCTGAAGGACCAAGCTGGGTCCCAGGGACACCTGCTGGCAGCTCTGGAGGGGACCTGGAGGCCGGCCTGTGCCAAGCTGGGTCCCAGGGACACCTGCTGGCAGCTCTGGAGGGGACCTGGAGGCTGGCCTGTGCCCCAGCTGTTCCCCAGGGCTCCAGCCTTGTGAAGAATCATCACATCCTTGCATCTCCCTTTGTCTCTGCTTTTCTAGCGTTCAGTGGCCCAGGTCTTTTCCTGCTGGGATCCCTAGAAAGTTCCAAGTACATCGCTTTGGCAGCTCATGTGCGTACATGCATGGGGGTAT